TCTAGTTTCATTCACATCCTTATTCACCAGTCATTTTATTTCAGTTTTCTCTGCGATACTTGCACAGAATTTCCTTCACTTGTCTACTCCTGAATTCTTTCAGCAGCGCTACTTTCTAGTACTTACGGCATCACCACTACAATGCCACCATAAAAATGCCTACTATATAATTCAGAAATTTGAGAGGGTACCAGAAAAGAACACATCACTGAATAAATCAAGAAAAGGAGCAAGCTGATAAAGCCTTGGGAAGATTCCACTTTGACACAAATGTCATGGTAATCTTTGGTAAAACAGCAAACATGGGAGCAATGCGTGACAGTTACATGGAGGTTTTTGCCAAATGTGTTTTTAGAAATACACACGAGTTTTGCTCTGGCTCTTTAACATTCCATGTTAACTGGTTTGCAGGCATGCTTCTGAAGAATGTAAAGTACATTAAAATGTGAAACACTTATCTCTAACGTTTTGTTGATGGCTTTCAATAAAAATACACAGATTCACACACCTTGACTTTTGTTACTTTGATAGCTAACTGGCTGTGCTTCCAACAACTGAAGAGACCACATCCGTCAGGCGTTGAGTCTCAACAGTAAGGGTAATACCAAGAAGCTGGCAAAGCTGGGATACTGTGCCATAAAAACCACAGCATCACATTTGGCTCCAACAGGTGTGCAGATGACTGACTTCTTGTATTTTGATATCAAATACAATGAACAAAATCATAAGCCTGTGTGGCTTGGTAAAATTGCCAGTCCACGTGCTCAATCGACTTTAAGGACAGAGAAGGCAACTCTATCCCAATGCGCCTGGAAAGGAACAGAGCTACGTTCACACGAGAAAGGTCACTCTGCATCGTCCTCTTACATGGTAGTACAATATCTATGCTCACTCTGCTTCCAGGGCAAATCCAAGAGACATGACCTTGCTGAGGCATCAGGCTGGCCTCCATCCTGTACAATACAAAGGCATACGAAATCCCTCAATGAAAATAAAACTGCATTCATACATATTCCTGGTTTTTATGACTAAAGTTACAATCTAAGGACATATGAGTGAGTTGATACAGCTACAACTGTTGCAGACTGCAGTGCTCCTGAAGTTCTATCTTTCAAACGAGACATCATAAAAAGGTGCTGGCATCTCAAGGTTATTAAAGAGATCACAGCACTATTACCTTCACAGTATGATGACACCTTTTTAACTGTCTTTTAGTAATGTAAATGTGCCCAAACACAGCACACCTAAGAATCCAAATCATAAACTGTTATTACAAATCATAAAATGTTATTACAATTATTAAAGGAAATAACTAAACTGAACTTAGAGAACAAGTCATATGATAAGTAAAGATGGACAGTCATACCCAAGTGACTAATTTCCTCAGGCATTACTTAACCTATTAGTAGTCATTATTTATTGATAGCAATACAGTTATTTGCAAAAGCAAAATTTAGTCTACACTTCAATTTCTAGTTGGTGGGGGGTTTTTTTCCCCAAATGCCTTTGAGAAAATAAAACTTACTTCTCTGCTTTAAAAAATTTCACTATCAATCTGTTACCTCTGTCTTCAGCTAAGTATATGACCTGACAAGAGGAAGACAGACAGCATCCTTCTCTGAATGCTTTGGTACACAGCCTCCTAATCATCATCAACGAAACATTGCAGAATGTTGCAAAGAAATGTGAACAGCATAACCCCATGTTAACTTGAAACTGATGTATCTTACAGCACTTTGTTTCAACACTCCTGCTCACCACATATATGAACTCTAATCAATTATATGTAGTTTATGGGACATTGCCCATTTATAACATCTTTGCTGGGAATATAACATATTAACTGTTAATAATAAGGGTTAACATGAGGATGATGATATTGCAGATTAACGCATCTGGAAGCCAGATTAATAGTTTCTTATTAGGTAAAATGTTAATCAGAGGTATCCGTGGTGAAGGCAGCTATTCTTTAAAGTCTAGCTAAGCATCCTCACAAGGACACAGTCCGGTAACTATGTGCACAGTATTTAAGGTTTCATTAAACCAATCAGAACCTCTCAGAACGCTTTCTTTGAATAAGCTTTACACCAGAAGTTTCATAGTAGAAATACACTTTTCAGAAGTGTAACTGACAATCTTATGTTCAACACCATTCAAGATGATAAATTATTTGCATTAAATGTGTTATTTATTATAATCTTCAACATGTCTTTATCAATGTTGTTTAGACAATTTATATTTACATTACTAGGCAATTATGAACAGAAAAGGCAGTTCAGAACATTATATTCTCTGGTGCACATAGGGCAAAATTTAACTATGTTGTTAATAATACTGCTGTTATTTCTGGCAGCACTAAGGGTATTTTATACACTGTATACAGGGGGACTAACAAATAGGATCGCTACTACATTACAGCATTCAGACTATCGTAGTATGACTCTGTGGAAGAGTTAATGCTCGTGAGTACCAAATTCAGGAATTAAAATTCACTGAAGGCATTGATTTCAAAGGTCCCTGAATGGTATTCAGAAGCTCAGCTCAGCTACTGTGGAGGTAAATTAGAGTTTTATCTTGAAACTTGAAAACTCCACCCTTTCTTAACTAACCGTTAAGGCTAAGTTGCATGACTAAACTAATGAATGGTCCAGAAAAGATAACCAGGAAATTACTAGTCAGTGTTTCTCACTCCAAAGTAACTACACAGTACCACATGAAATGATGAAGCAGCAGGTTGTAAACAAGTGAACAGAAGCGTGTGAACTACGTGCTTGAATCCACTACATGTTGAGCAGGCCAGATGTATCAAGGAAACCCAAAGGAAAATTAGAGAAGTTCACAAGAAAAAAAGGTTTCAGCAGTCCAAGCCACAGTCTGCCAGGGTACAGGAACAGTGCATCAGGGTGTGCATGTTTAGTTCACTATACTAAATACCTGCCACTGGATAAACCGAACCTTCAGAGAAGGTAGACCTCATCTTGGCAAGATGTGCTGCTGGGCTGACCAGAACGGCTGCACTTCATGTGTCAAGTCCTCAGCAAAGATCTCTTGGGGTATATAAATATTTAAAACTCCTTCAGAAGTCCTCAAGTTTTGGGCTTTGTAACAAGAATATGCAGCTTTTGTAACTGCCCCCATACCCAGACTAGTTTGTTTATCACTCTGATGAAAAAATAATTCATGTGTGTATTTTCCTCAAGAAGAACAGCTCCGAGTCATGTTACAAACTGCAGAATAATTAATGTGCATTTTACACACCTCTCATACAAGTGTCTCCAGGGCTGGTAGGAAGAGCAGAGGCATACGCTTTGCCTTCCTGTTCTTGCACATACAAAGTTTTTCACTGTTACTTCTCAAAAGAGGTAGTAAACTGCAATTTATGGGACAGAATATCTATCCATAAAGTCACCAAAGGGAAGATCTTTATCTTGCTTGAAAAGGTATGCAGATCATTCCTTAACATTTCAATTTCTACAGAAAATAGCCCTTTTGGCTATGTAGAACATCAAAACTCAGTGAGGTATAGCAGGGTCAAAGTTGCCAGTGAGCAAAAGTAAAAAAGAGCTGAAGTTTCAGTCACTTAGAAATAAAGGTACAGGTCTCTGGATGAATGTCTGTGGAACATATTCCATACAAAAGGGAAGACGACAGGAAAAGAGTGAGGCAGACCATCTGGAATCAAGGTATTCAGTGCAAGAATAACAAAACACCAATTTTTTCTTAGAACAGTTATCTTTTCAACCTACAGTAAGTCTATGGTCCCAGATATATCAAGAAAGCTTTGCTGGTGTGTATTGATATATATGATATGGTCAAAGCAGTTCTTGTGTAAACATAGCTACATCAGATGAATTACAATTTGTTATAGTAAAATAAAAATACCGTAAAATAAAAATCTTCCCACACAGCTTTACCGAAGCAGTAGTTGATAATGTTAGTTACTCTCACAGTACTATTTATCCCAGTTTAGTATACACTGCTATATTTGTATACAGTACATATGCTGCTTAAGCATCCCTACTATAAACAGCATGCCACTTGCATGCCACTTACAAATTGTTTCAGACTAACTTCACACTTACCCCCCTTTCCAGGGTGCTGGCTTACATACGATGCAATTAGTAAGATAAATATAAAAGACAACATATATCTCTCCTGAAATCCTTGAAATGCTTCAGCCTATTTCCCTGCTCTTCACAAAGCCACAGTCCTCAGTAACTTGCACTATACCATACCATACCATTTGTGCCAGCAAATCCTCCACAAACATAAAGACTTCCTAGCCGACAAGGGACTTACTAAAGCACCATTACCCACCCGTTAAAGCCTCTTCATTGTACGCTGACTAACATCCATACCTTTATAAAACATGAAGATAAAACTCGGTCTTCTCCCTTTCCTTCTACCACAAACTGTAAGGAACCAATGCCCTGACTGAAGACATAACGATTGAAAATGAAATCTTTAACTAACAGGAATGAAGCAGCACCACATTTAGTGGTACACAGGGGCTCCAGTAATTTGTCTTGCTGCTGCTATCTCACTAACCTCTACCACAAAAATACCCATGGGCTTAGTTGCCCAAGAGAGAGGCTCTGTTTATCTGAACAGTGCTTTCCCGATTGGCCTGTCATCCATTTTGGATCATTACAAATCTTGTCCAGCTCCTGCATGTGAAAGCTCTCCAAGAGATCCCCTGAGTGATCATCTTTCTTGGCAAGTGTTTGTATTTTACCCAGCCTGACTAATAGTGTATGGTTTTGTGATTCTGCAAAAACAACGGGTTTTGGTCCTCTTAGAATGAAGCGCAGGTAGTGTTTGCATTCATTGCGACACACTTTGATGGCCTTTCTGGGAGGCAGCTTATTGCAAACATTGACCAGAAAAATCTTCCTCATTATTTAAGTGTTGTTAAATCACCCAAATTTACATCTTAAACATACTGTCTAATAGGTGCAAGATTACCCAGTAAAAAGACATCTTAAGATCAAGATACTTACAAAAAGCAGAAGCAGAAGTGGAGTTATAACAATGCCCTGGAAGAAATAAAAAAAAGAAAAAAAAGATATCTGTTAGTCAGGGAAGCAGAATACTCTTTACTTCCTTGTACTTCAGTGCATGGAAATACACAAACATCATGCAATATCATAGAAATTAAGTGACAAGAAGTTCAACTTTGCTCTTCACTGTGTACATTCTTTAACATCTGTACATTGATCATTTTATAAACTATACTCTCTACTGAGTAACTTTTTTTACCGCTAGCTTTCCCCATTTTGCACCTAAGCCCCTCTATTCTAAAAGATCTGATATACAGAATAGAACAATTATTTTTAAAAACATATTAAAGCTCTCCCCTCACTGTGCTGTATCTTAACTCCACTAAGCTGCTCCTCCTTAGAGGGGAGACTTGTGATCAAGTCCCATGCTACTCAGTCCCAGGTCCTCTTCCGAGCAAAAGCCACATCAACTGTGATGAATTAGGTGTTGTGACTGTGTAATGTAAACTGATATTTCCCAAGGAAATGAGCTGAGATCTCAAAACTCATTTCACTTGATTAGACTTCGCGTCTCACTGGTAGAAGGCAAGTCTTTCATCTAATTTAATCACACAGGACCATCTCAGCTTTCCACATCCCCCAGGCAGACACAAGCAAAAAGATTTGTTGTCTTCACTGACAAGGAACAGGTTTAAAGCTCATGATTGGACAAATTACAGGATTTTAAGTTTCATGAGAGCAAATCTTAAAATGAGTTGTTTGGGTTGGGAGTTAACATGACATACATCACTTTCATAGCTGCAAATAGCAATTCCCCATCATCCTTCCATCTGACTTCAATATTTTATTATCGCTCAATAAAATGATTCCATATTTAATGCATGCTAATTCGCAAAGCTTGCTCAGAACTTCTCTAAGCCAAGATTATTCTTCATACAGCTATGTCTCAAGAATAACTAGTCTTACAGCTATTCACAAACTTTATTGTTTAAAGGACAAAAGTCCAAAACTTGCTCACATCCATCTAAAAGGACGCTTATTTTCTGTTTTTAGCTCCAAGTGAAAAACAATCGAACAAAAAAGCAGTTGTCCCCTGCTTTTCATTTAACCTTGAGTAACAGGGTTTTACTTCAATCTTTTGGAAGCTAATATAAAGAAAAACCTTATATGACTAGTTTTGTATTTGCTTTCTCGGTCCACAAAAAGTCTCAGATCCAGACACCCCATTAGGCAGAGAGTTCCTATTGTGCTCTTAAAACAAAATGCAACAAGTAAATGCCACAAACAATAGCAGACAAAAAGGATCAAGAAGGTAACAGTTAGGCTGTGCAACTTGAAGGCTCTGCAGAACTTAAAAACATATTTTGAAATAAATAATATGTGCCATATCTGACTGCCCCACAGCCTAGCTATCCATAATCATTTATCTTTTTGCAAATGTCACAGCTGAGATGATAGATCATAAAAGACTAGAAAGAGAAGAAGTAGAAGCAATAAGGATTGCTTCAGGGAGTCACTCACTGTTTACAGGGAGGCCTAGACGAAAAGGCAGATAACAGTTATGAAGAAATATAGGTGTTCAAGTATATCGGCTGTAGAGGAAGAAACAAAAGTTGAGGAAGGGAGGAGGCACTAAGAGCTGAACTGACACTTGCGTACAGTAGCATCTACGATGCTTAGAATGGAGAACTGACAATAAGATCTGTATATGTAGATGCAACACAGTCACTTCATCAGAATGACCAAACTCCAGCTTTTATGAACTACTACTAAGAATACGTGAGCCAGACTTTCCCCTTCTTCCCCCTTCCCCATTGACAACTATACTAGGTCAAATACTACCAAGTGCCTGAGTATTCCCTAAGCATCCTGTAATTTTGGGATGGCAGAACACCACTGCAGCAGGGTTCCACCTTCAGACCTTCACATGAGCGAAGAGGAGCATGGATGGGGCAGGAGGCGATACGTCAAAAGCATCCCATACTCCAAATAAGCATTGAGTGTAGGGAGAAGAGAGCACACTGCCAGCTGGTGAGTACAGCCAGCTCTTCTCTAAGTCTGAAGAACTCATTAATTCAGCACCATTAGTCATTTCTTACGCGCTTCATGCCTCAGTACATTTCATAGTGCTTTTATACATTACAAAAAAATGCAAAGGTAAAAAACCAAACTAAAACAACCTTTCCCTTTATCTTGTTGATAAATAAAGATGGTGTCCTTCCTCTTTTAGGATGGGACCTGTGACTTGGTATATATTTGCTTTAGAAGCTCGGTGATATTAACACAATGGGCAATAGCCACTGCTAATTCAAAGCATGTAATGTCACAAAAGGAAACATTACCTCTGTGACAGCAACACTTCTTCATAATTCTGTAAGCGGAGAGCAAGAGAATCCTGGTATACATCATAAATAGATTCCTGACTGAGCTTGTTACAAATCCAGCATTCAAAAGGTCAATTCTAGCAATTCTTTACAAAATTTTGCTATTAAACCTGGTGATCTTCATAATCAGAAGCAAGTTTCCTGTTGCCTCACCACAGAAAGGATTTACAAGGTTGAATTTTCCCATTTGCAACACATACACAACTCCCTGGAAAGCTGAACAACTACCTGACAGAACAGACAAGTTCATATTAAAAAATAGATGCTGTTGCTGAATCAGAGTAATTTGATGTTAATGTTTTGTTTTGATAAGGAGCACCGGTTTGAAAAACCACAGGATTACATTAAAATCAAGGGGGGGGTTCAGTCAGTAGTGCTGCGGTGACTGTGATGGTTTATGGGTGCAAGCAAGGCAAGATTTGTCAGGGGAGGGAACCTCTGTTACTAGACCGACTGAAGGAGTTGGTAAAGAACAAACTTTGGGCACATAAAGCCCATATGTATGTTACCTGAAAACACTGATGTGCTTTTATGTGCAAAAGCCCTTCTCTTCAGGTTTCTGTTCCAGATTTGAAGAAGGGTTTACATGACTAAAGTACATCTGTCTAACAAAAGATATTACCTTTCCCTGCACACACTGCCTTGCTTCAACACATTACCTCTCCATAAGAAACGTGCTCCTCAATATGCTCATAAGCATTATGTGATGCATCTCAATTCATACCCACTAAAGAATAATATATAGAGCACATCGAGTCTAAAGCCTACCGATAGAAAATACAGACGATGATTTAGGTTTTGAAGGTAAAACCAAAATCTGATTCACTCAGAATACAGAAAAGGTGGAAGAAAACAGTTACTCTACACGGTCCAGCTCACGCGCTAGCTCTATGCTCACTCACAAAGACGAGCATATTCTGACACTGGCAGTGTGGCTGCTTTCTAAGACTATGACAGGCTGAAAAGCACAAAGGAAGCTAAAAATTAAAATAAAGACTATCATTTCTGAGTCCATTGGACACTAACACCATCAGAGAGGAAAAAGTAACTAAATTTGACTATGCTTTTCCTTGCCTTGCTTTCCAGGCAAGTGCTGTCAAATACAGTGTATGGAGATAAACAGATTGTAGATTAGCACCTCCAGCAGAAGCTGAGCATCTGCCCTTGAGAATGCAAGGTCATTACACAGTTTTAGCATCTTCAAAGTTGGGGTGGAGTGTTAAGCTTTCTGACTGCTGCCCACAACGGAGTCAAAGTTGTAAAGTGACTGCCGTTTGCTATCAGCAGAAAAACTTTCAAGAAATACTTTTACACCTCTGATGTGAAAGACTGACTGAATATATTTCAATGATTTTAGTGGAAAGGGAAGAAAAAAAATCTCAGCCTGTCCTGAGACACTGATACAACATAGGAGCCTGAACAGTCAGATACCTGTAAACACATTTGTTTTTACAGTAAAGATCGTGAAACATGTCTTAATTAAGAGAGTTTAAAGGCAGGTTTGTGTGTGCAAGCATGTGCATAAACATACACTTTAACAGCAAGGATGTAACTGGAGATCCATTTAATTGTTATTTGCCTTGTATAGATAAAGATGTTAAGAGGTTTTCTATAGGTTTCATCCAGTACAGCACTGCTGTAGAGCAGATACTAAAAAGTGTTTATTCTCCAAAAGAATATGTAGAATCAATACATGTAAATTGGCTGCCAAATCAGACAGCAAAAGGAAGTAACATAATGGATTTGAAACTATGATGGTAGATCATTAAGGAAGAGATTATGCAAATAGTAAGAAGAAGGTGGGCACAGATCCAGAGGGACACATGGTAGAAGACAAGTAAGGATTATTGTAATGAGGCATGAAATACATGTGAACTTTCCTTCGTTTCCTTTACCCACAAATTTCCCATGCAATTTTTCTTCATTCTTACAGGTCATCAGTATGACACGCATGTGGAAATTACTAGTGAAAAAAACCTTAACCAAAATTGCATCTGATTTGTCTTAAGTAGGGCTAGAAAGAAAAAAAAAAGTTTTTTGTAATCAAGGTTCTGAATACACATACAAACATGTATTTTCTGAAATCATTTACCTACTTGTGCTTAAAGCTACAGATGTTCTTCAATGCTTCATCAGAGCAGGACACAAAAGGAGCAGAAGTATAAGCAGCATTACGTTATAAACTGAATAAAGGTTAGCAAAAAGTTAACTGGGCAGCATTTCCATTACTACTGATGGGGTAAGGTGCGAGAAAAATGGCTATGAACTCTCAATAATTTCATCAGAAGACAAGCATGAATAAGAACTGAAACTCAATCTTCATCTGTGTACAGCAGTATTTCTCACATGGTTTTATTTCAAGAGTCGCTGGCACTTTTTTGGAAAAGAAAGAGCAACCAAAAAAACACAGCCTGTCCCCGCCCCTCCCTCCCCCCAGATCTGTGCAGTTTTTCTGATTACAACATGAGAGATAGACTTTACCTTGAAACATTTCTTATTTCTATTTCTTCTTATGTCTTTTTTTTCCCTTGCTTTTGTGCTTGGAAGTGTGTTTTTAAAAAATATTTTTTTTTCTTTATTTTGTTTTTGACAAATTTGCAGACAACTTTATAATGTTTTACATTTCAAAAAGAGAACCCTGCCTCTAGAAAA